GGCTAGCAGGGCAGCAGGTGGTGGGCCAAAAAGAAAACGGTCCTAGAAGGGACCTGCTCTGAAACCATGTTTAGATCAGTGAACGAGAATGAATGAACTAGCAAAGAGTTGGGTACAAGTACTAACCCTAATTGGGTTGTACCCCTTGTGGGCTCACTATAGCCTACACAAATGTAAGCACTATAACATTCTGACATGAGGGCTGGAGCAGGAATCGTCTTGTATGAGCGAATGCTCAACTGCTCCGCCGACGACATATTCTGCAGGAGGACGCCGTACGCCATCGACGACTCGTTGTAGTACTGCGCCCGGGCGTCAGCAGTGCCCTCAGCAGGTCCCGAGTAGCTTCTATCGAAGTAGTGAAATATCTGTGCGTTTTGCAGCAGCAGTTCCAGCTCGAAGATCCACGTACAGAAGTCTCTGCCGTCAAAACACACACTTGTCTTTATTTTTGATATCCTCAAAAACCTTGATTGCGCAGAGAGAATTGCTTCTTCGTTGGGACGGGGAGTCTTGGGTGTTGAGCCATTTGTGTCAAGGGAGAAGGTATGCGGGGCGGTATTTTGGTCGTTCGAGGCAGGTTGAGTGGGTTGGGAAGATGTTCCCGCGTCGCCATTCCGCAATGTTTGGAGTTGTTGCTCCGGGCTGGTGAGTCGCTGAAGCATCTATGCGAGGGCGGCGGTTCCAATCGTCATCATTTCCTCGCTTGTCGCAGCCGGGTTGGTATGCGTTTCAGCCGTCATATTCGTCTGACCACCAGATCCTCCGGCCATTCTCACACGCGAGCGTGTGCCGGACGCCACTTTCCGTTCGCCGAAGATTTCAGAGGTGGCGGTGCGAAGGATTCCTGAGTCGCTCTGATACCATGTTGCGATCAGAAATTGATCGTACCTAGGATCACCTCGGGAAGGTTCACACACGTCTGAGTAGTGGTGGGCCCTTGACCTCAATAGCAGAGTGGATGTAAAATGCTTGAGATGATTAAAACATGCAAATACAAAGGTATAAATAAAAATACAGGAAGGAATACGAATCGACATAGCTAGCCATGCACTCTAAGGGGTACATTCTCTTATTACAGCGAAATCCAATCGTGCGACTCCAGACGGTTACGAACTGCCTGGGCAGAATCCTCGCCACTGCTGGTGCCTGATGCTGTCTGCCCGACTGTCCAGATCATTTCGTAGCCGTACGACCCTTTGCGTCATTTCCGCCTTTTCGTCTCCAGCTTCGGTAGTACATGCTTTGATTGCTGCGATAAGGAGTGCACATTGATGCACCCTCGGATGACATGTCCTTCATATTGGGTTTATTTTTGTTTGCCCCGGGCAGGGAGCTCCCTGGGCGGATTTGTTTTTCTGTTGAGATATATTCATAGAGAAATTAATTATTGCATCTGGATCGCGTCAGATTCGTTCTCACCCTAAAACTAGGAATCCAAGGGACCATAAACTCGTATAACACGCAAATGCAGACTGATCATAACGTGATCGCGGGTGTAGAACAAGTGGCAGTCCATAGGATTGAGAAATTTCGAAATACGGGAAACACGGTGCGAGGGTAGTCGATGGGATTGAGAAAATTTTGAGAATCGTTGCGTCGCGCAATTAGTTCTCAATGTGAGCCTGGCCAACGGAACACAGGGGTTTAGTTTTTGTGCCCGCGGGCAGCTGACGGATATCTGGTTTCTACAGCAGCTCGATTATTCCATTCAGCTTTCAGTCGAGATTTTCGGTTTATTGCCCCCGCAAGTGTACATCGGTTGGCTCCAGAAACCCAGCGAATCGGGATGGGCACATTTTTCTCTGGAACCTTCAGTCCGGAGGCGTCCGACCTAAAAGCTTGCGTTCTGGCAAAGTCTCACACCTCGAACCAAACCAGTGGGCACATTGCCCCCAGGAGTCGGGACTCTGCATTAAGGGTGCATTCCTATCCCGTGTCAGACATCAAGTCATGCGGCCTTAGTCTCCAATTTGTCTCTTCCGAACTTCCAATCGCCCCAAAAATGAGGCACTTCGGGCCTTCCAAACCTCCACTTCGTGTCCAGCCTAATGTCTGACACGGGAAAAGAATGCGCCTTAGCTATTGGTGCTCAGCTCAGGCTCCACCCGCCCACCCCTCCCAATCCAGTTGGGAGTGTCATATTGACCAACGACCTACCTTGCTCAACCAGCAGGTACTGCTTGATGGAGCCTGTACCGTACTGTATCGCACTCGTATTATCCGCAACCACCCTAAACCTCGATTTCTGTGTTCAACAAGGATGGAGCTCCACCCTGCTTCAGGCCAACCTGTGTTACTGTTTAGATAGAAGTTCTCTCGAAGCCCTCTATTATGTTAGCATATCGGATTTCTACTTCAAACGTCGAAAATCGAATAAGTGTCCATTTGTCCGCATAGTTGCCCGAACCAGGTCTGACGACTGCTGGTCCTAGGACAGGGATCGATGCCTTTGGAAACGTCGTCCAGCTTAGTGCTTCATGGAGTCCCTTGCGTCACAGGTCGTGCGGTGTTTCGACAGTCACGCCCAGCGTATATAGCCCGCGTGTTTGTGTTCTCCAATGCACTCTTTTCACAGAAATCTTATTTATTTTGACGAAATCCCAAGTCTCGCACTCGAGACGCCTCTCGCGACTCCAGGCAGAAGAGCTTCTTCGACAAACAGCCATGGCTCACTATTCTTTCGCGGTGAAGACGCCGTCCCTCGGCAGCGCCGCTGCACGGTCGCGCTTCCCCAAGTCCTGCTCAACCGGTTCCGTGAATCGCGGAGCTGCCACATCATCATCGTCTGCCGCTCTATCCCCGCTCGTGTCCCCTTTCGCTCCCACTGTCGCCTCCCCTTTCGCGGCTACCATCGCTCCTGGGGATAATTATCGTCATTCGAAGCCGATATTGCCTACACCGAAGCCTTCAAGTCAAGCCAGCGGGAGCTCAGGAATCACGCATACCGAGGCTGCTTCTATCGCGCGCAGTTCTGTTTTTCGAGAGTATGTCAGTTGCCGCGATGAAGCCCTGTCTCTTGACAGTGACGATGAGGAGTATACAGTGGAGGATATGGCCTCTCAGGCGCGTATGGAGGCCACCAGACTGGCAGTATTGGGGTCGCGGAGAGGATCCGTTCACATTCAGCGTGAATCATTCTGCCTGCACGTGGAAATTCCAGTCCACTCCGCTAAGCTGAGCTAAGCAAAAATAAATCGGATTCTTGCTATGATATGGAGCATAAAGCAACAGAAGCTGAGATGAGGTTTCTTCACCAGCACGCATACGAAGAAGCGATCCTTATTAATCCAGACTAAAGCGATCCTTGCTCGTGGTTCTAGCAGGATGGGGTGGCGCAGTGGCTATTCCTGCGCTATGGATGTTTGAGTGTCATCCAGCTGAGTGTGACTGGCGCTGCAATCCTGCTTTGAGAGATTTACCGAATGAGGATGCAGCTATGGGGAACGTGTAATATAGCAAGCTTTCATCTAATACTGATTGACCTAGTTTTAGCAATAAAGTTATTAGCCTTTCAATATTCATTTACAGCTTCTCATTGCATCCCATCTACAGTAATATCGGAAATTCTCAGTTTTATATGCTGCAAGGGTGATGTATGAGATGAAATGGGCTGTCGTTGATTTAAAGAAGTGCCCCACTTTTTAGGTAAACCAAAGCCAGCTCAAATCAGGAAATCACCATTCTGTTTTAGAGATTCCTTTGTACACTGTATCATCCACTCCCATCAGTTGAGCTTGCCAGCTTGGCATCGAGTTTGCACAGTCAATGCCAAGTCCGTTCAGAATTTGGCGGTAAATTTCAAACTCGATGACAGACTGACAAGCTGAGACCGATGCGCTGGACATTCAAACCAGCCTTCTATGTTCGGCTTTCTTCCGAACCAGTTATTTCCAAAACCAAACCAGGCTCGCGTCAAATCTAAGCGGCACATTCCTGGTTCGGAAGTTGCCATTGAACATCGACCTTGGATCCTTTCTGTCAAGCCTTGTTTCTGAATTCCTGAATCCTCAATGCTGAGCGCTGAGCGCTGAACGCTGAACGCTGAAAGCTGATTTCTTTCTAAGTGGGTTCCTGAATCCTCTGGTTGTCAGGCGATAGATCCTCTAGCCTAAGAATCATTCTGCAGTGATCTTCATGGATTCTTGATGCAGTATTTCCTGATTTCGGAGCTAAGAACGTGATTAGGTGCGGCATAGTGCAGCCAGAAGCTGAGCGTTGTTGTGAGTGTGAGTGCTTCGTGTATCCTATTGTGTTAGGGTCTGCGTATTAGCTTGTCGTCTGATGCTAGTTCACATCCACGCTTCCTTCAACGATCACCTTTGATACGGTTAAGTTCGTGCTTTCTGAAGCGAGGTCCGCTATGTTAACGGTTTATTCTAGACGGGAGAATTGAGATTGAACTCTTCTAAAGCGGTTTAAATCACTATCAGGATTGCAAGCGACGCATCACGTCACTAATACCGATCCCTGGTCAAGAAACGTGTCGTCTCACGTGATCGTCACATCTCCTTGATCGCATCGTCCTTAGCAGTGAAAATTCAGGGTCCGTCACTAGCGGACAGCTGAGTGCTTCTGAAGCAAGGCATTTTAGTGAAGTTTGACATAACGCAGCCATGGTGGAACCCTCATCCACCACCGACGAGAACCACTGCGAAATGGAGAGGCCAGAGCACCTCACCGTCAACACCGTGAACAACATCAGTAACAGCAGCAACAACAACTATGGCAATAACGCCTTCCTTCAGTCCGTGTCGGAAATCCACACCCCGCTGAGCAAGCGCGAGACGAACAGCGACATTCACTACCGACCGTCCGCGTTCGCATCGTCGCTTCGTGACACTACGAATCACAAATTCCATCCAGGCAGCGCCGTTCATCACGGGAGCTACGGAACGCCGTTCACGGGAACGCGAGGCGGGACGCCGTTCACAGGAGCGCGAGGCGGGGCGAAGGTGCGCCAGTCGCCGGCGGTGCAGAGGAAGGAGGTGCTTCAGCTGATGGAGGAGCGGGATGAAGCGCAACGAGCGGCCAAGGCGATATTTGAGGAGAAACGAGACCTCGAGGTACCACCTTCACGTCCCGTTCATTCAATATGTTTATGAATGTCTATGGTTGTTTCTAAAAGTTCTTAGATTCTTGAATGATGACAGCCGGCAGTCGGAAAGTCGATAAGAAATATCATCTGAACGTTCGTGACTCTGTGTCTGATCAATGATTCTATTTCCTAGTTTTTTTTTTGTGTGTCGTGCGTGTTTGATTTATCACCTTGATTTTTAAAATTGTGCTCCATATTCTCTATTGCAGGCTGTGCACGAGCGGTTGCTGGAGGAGTACGAGGAGAAGGAGATGGAACTGGAGGAGGCGATGGCAGCCAGGGACGCGGAGGTCAACCGACGGAAGCAACTCGAGGTTCGTTCGCACGGAAAAGCAACATTATTTCGCCATGATCTACTTTTGGGAATTCTTTCAGATTTCCGGGGTATTTCGCGTTTTGAGCCGTCTTACAACTCGAGGTTCCTTTCGTTTTGAGACTCCGTGTCATTGGCATGATCACGGCGTGGCAAACTGGCACATCCTTGTTATCCCATGATTCATCCCATGGCGATCTCCTTGCTGTTGCTTGAATCGACGACGCGCCGCTGGTTACGTTTGACATGTTGACCCGAAACAACCAAGAAAAAAAAAAAAAAAACTTCTGAATGTTCCAAGTGACCTGCCAGGTCCTCGCATGCCTTGCGCGACAATAATATTTGTGTTCTTTCCACGCATCTTGCAGGCTGCCTCGCCTCAGTGGTGACGCGGAATGACGGAGACAGAGGCTGGAGTGAATCCAGAGCAGCAATCGGTGCACGAGGTGACTTCTGAGTCGACTCAAAAGTCACCTCGTTTTTGAGTCGATCCAAAAGTCGCCGAAGGACAAAGACGGAGGCTGGCGCTTACAGAGCAGCAGTAGGAGCAGGAGCAGATGCACGCGGAAACTGAAGTCCCTGAATGTGTCCTTGCATGCGTTTCGTGTTTCCTGTCCCACTCAACCCGCAGAACGCATTGGCGGTGGCGGAAGGGAAGGACGGAGACGGATGGCGGCGTCTGCAGAGGGAGCAGCAGCTGCAGGAGCAGGTGCAGGCGCTAAGGCGGGAGACGGCGGGGTTGAAGCGACAGGTGGAGGAGGCGAAATGGCGCGAGGAGGAGACGAAGGAGAAGCTGAAGGAGTGCCAGAACAAGCTGGAGCAGGTACGATCTTTGATCAACATTTGGCGGTTCCGTAACTTGAGCAACACGAGGATCAAGACGCGACTGCTATTCGGTGCTTGAATTGTATCGTGATGTGATTCTGTGGAGGTTTTGGAATTCGTTAGCGCTCGCAGTCATCAGCGATTGCTGAAGCTCTCCGATTGCAAGCATCGTGGATGTTGAAGGTCAGTTTCTACACGTGCTGCTCCTCCTCTCCTCCTCTCGAACTCCCAACATGCGATCCCCCTCCAGGCTGCTGCGTGGAGGCGCAAGTGGGAGGCAGCAGAGAGGGAGCTGGGCGAGGCGAGGCAGGAAATGGCTCGCCTGGAGGTGTGGCAGCTTTGAGAATTCTCACAACGACTCCTGAATTCCCACACACGTGCTACAACTTCCACCGAACTCCCATCCCGTGATCCCCCTCCAGGCTGCTTCGTGGAGGCGCAAGTGGGAGGTGGCGGAGAGGGAGCTGGGCGAGGCGAGGCAGGAGCTGGCTCGCCTGGAGGTGCAGCAGCGACGCCTGCCGCACATGGAGAAGCAGCTGCAGGTGAGTCTCTCCACAGGGTATGCATTTGCTCCTCGCACGGGGTACGGGAGTCGTCCTTGGCAAGGCGCAACTGCAGCAGGCATTTGCTGGCTCTCCCAGGAGCAAGAGCTGGCTCGCCTGGAGGTGCAGCAGCGGCGCCTGCCGCACATGGAGAAGCAGCTGCAGGTGAGTCTCACTGCAGCGTGTAGGCATGGACCGCGCACAGGTATGGTTGCCCCCTCTCTCAAGGCTATGTATAGCAGGGACGGGCAGGTTCCTACGTCCAGTGGAGCAGGAGCTGGCTCGCCTGGAGGTGCAGCAGCGACGCATTCCGCACATGGAGAAGCAGCTGCAGGTGAGTCTCATCACGGGGTATGCAATGCTCCTTCACCATAGTATGGTACGCTCATTCACAAGCCGACTTGAAGCAGGTATGGGCAGGTCTCTCCTTGAAGCACCAAGCTGTTTGCCTGGAGATGCAGCAGAAAGTCAAGTTGTGTTGCTGTGCTGATAACATGTTTTTCTCGACGCGCGTGCTGGTATGTCCTTCTCCGAGCAGAACCTAAAGGGGGAGGTGGAGCGGTGGAGAGGCAAGACGGAGGAGGTGGAGCGAGAGGCGGAGGAGCAGAGGACGAGAGCCAAGGTGCTGGAGGTCAAGAAGACGACTCTTGAAGAGCTCGTGGCTTCCCTGACGGTGAGAGCAAGGGAATTGGGGCTCTTCAGTTGGAATAAACTTAGAAAATTCGTGGTGGGAGTCAAGAGGGCTACACTTTCAAGTTTCGTTTGTTTTTATTTTATTTTTTATGAGAGCACGGTGATTGGTTGTCTAAAGCATGTGCATGCTCTATGTGGTTATCACTTTGCAAAGAGAGCTGGTAGGCTTTTTTTCTGGGAACATTCAGAGAGGAGTCCGCAGGTGTATAACAATCCGACTTTGAAATGGCAATGCGCCATCTGCTCAAGATGAATCCCCTCCCATTTATTCCAACGCTTACATCTCTCAACATGTCTGCTGCATTCTCTCTCTTGTTTCCTTCTTCAGAAGGAAGATAGAGACGAAGAGGACTGTGAGGGCAGGGGGGGAGAGGAAACAGAGGCGGAGAAGGCGGAAGAGGCGGAAGAGGAGGAGGAGGATGAGGAGGAGGAGGAGAAACGGAAGGACGAGCAGGTGAATCAGCAGCTGCAGGTGCTGAAAGAGGCGTTCCAGGAGTTTGAAGGGATCAGGTGCTCGTGTGATGAAACAGCTTCTGCAGAAACAGCCTATGGGGTGCCTCAACAGCAGTGTGAAGGCATGAACGCGCCTGATCCCCCCCACTCCGCCTCCGCCTCCACCCCCGCCCCCGCCCCCGCCCCGTCCCCAGCACCCGTGGTTGGGGGTGCACTATCTGGGTACCAGATAGGCTCGCCAGGGGCGTGGGGAAGGCTGAGTATGACGGCAGGAAAAGAGAGTCTGGCCGGGGCAGGGAGTGTGGGAACGACGGGGAGTGTGGGGAGTGTGGGATACGGACAGAATGAGGAGGCGGGGAGGGTGATCAAGAGCCTGCAATCGAAGGTGCGCGCGGCGCTGCGCGAGAGGGACGCGGGGAGGGTGGAGTGCGCGCGGCTGGGTGAGATGGTGGCGGGGCTGCGGAGGGACCTGGCGCGGGCGGAGGAGGCGGCAGGGAAGGCGGGGGCAGAGGCGGTGGAGGTGCAGAGGCAGCTGCTGCAGGCGAAGGAAGAGCAGAAGGCAGAGGTGAGGGGCCAGGGTCAGAAGATGCCGCTGCTGCTGTTTGTGTTGATGTGAGTTTTGTGTATTCCTGTAACGGAAGCTGTGTGGGTCTTTTGGGTGCTGCTGGTGGCGCAGCTGGTGGCAGCGAGAATTTTCTTTGAGACGCCTCAAAAACATTTCTTCCTCCCTCGTTCCTTCATTGTTCCCCAGGCGGAGGCTCTGCTGGTGGAGAGGGAGCAGCGGGCGGCGCAGCTGATGGCAGCAGAGGGAGCTCGGCTGGAGGGGGAGAAGGAGAAAGCCCTGCTCGCCGCGGACCTCTCTTCCACCAGGTGAGGAACTGACGAGCTGAGTGCTTGGTGTGTGCTTTTCAGGGCTGCTTATGTGCTTTGAAGGGAGAAGGAACAACTGACAACTGACTGAAAAGTGACAGACTGATGACTGACTTGTGACAGGGTGACTCAAGCCTGCCTCTTTTCGTGGCAGAGGTTTCCCGCTTGGAAGGACCTTTGAAAGTTCTCAGAAGTTACTTTTTTCGTGTGTCCCGTATTGATTTGCGTTGCAGGGCGGAGGTCTCCCGCCTGGAGAGGAGCATGGCAGAGTCAGAGAAGCTGTCCAAGCAGTGGTTATCCTCGCTACAAGCAGAACTCGCTGTGGTTAAAACGGAGCTGGAGCGCAAGGAGCGCAAGCTGGAAGAAGCTACACTCGAGTTGAACGTAAAGTTTAGGGAGTGCGAGAGGATGGAGAGGGCCTGGGAGAAGCAGCAGGAGGCTTGGAACGGAGAGGCGCAAGAGGCAGCGGTGCAGCTCGTTTCAGCGCGGTTGGACCTGGCTGGTTGCGGTTTTGAGAGGAGTGAGGCCGAGAGGGAGTGGGAGGAGGAGAAGAGGGCAAGGGAGGAGGAGTGGGCGGGCAGGGAGAAGGAGTGGGATGGGGAGAAGCTGAGGTGGATCAAGGAGCAGCTGACGTGGGCAGCAAAGGAGCGAGCATGGGCGAAGGAAGCAGATGAGCAGAGGGAGCACGTGGCATGGCTTGAAGCGAGCCTGTCCGGGGTAGAGCAGGAGAAGCAGGAGCTGATGCAGGCTAAGAAAGAGGCGGAGCAGGAGCGAGAGGAGGTGGAGATGGAGAGGGAGGAACTGGAGCAGGAGAGGAGGCGATTGGAAGGGGTGGTGGTTGCTCTGCGGGACGAGGGTCAGAGACTGGCGCAGGAACTTGAAGAGGTACGAAAGCAGGCGGAGGAGGAGCGGGAGCAGGCGGAGGCGGAGCAGCAGGCAGCGCAGCAGGCGATGCATGCGGCCCAGCAGGAGTGGGAACAGAAGGAGGAGCAATGGGGTGGGAAGGAGAGCAGCTGGTCTTCTCAGCTAGAGGAGTGGGTGCGGAAGGAGAAGCAGTGGGCGGGCTGTGAGGCGCAGATGGCCGCTCAGGTGGGCAGCTTGGATGAGGAGATCACTGGGCTGAAAGTGGCACACGCAGCCGAGCAGCAGGCATGGGCGGAGAAGCAGTGCAGGTGGGCGTCTGAGGTAGAAGAATGGACGCGGAAGGAGCAGCAGTGGTCGGGCTGTGAGGCGCAGATGGCAGCTCGTGTGAGGTGCTTGGATGAGGAGATTACTGGGCTGAGGGAAGCGCGAGCAACCGAGCAGCAGGCATGGGCAGAGAAGGAGAGGCAGGAGCAGGGACGAGTAGCCTCTCTGGTAGAGCAGTGGGGACAGAAGGAAGAGCAGTGGGGGCAGAAGGAAGAGCAGTGGGAGGCGGAGAGGAGGGAACTGGTCGGGAAGGAAGAGGCGCTCTCTGCTCAGACTACGGTTTTGACTGACGAGTTGGCTGTTGTGAGACAGTCATTTGCGGAGGAGCAGCAGCAGTGGGCGGAAGAAAAGGGGGAGCTTGCTGCTGCACATGAGGCGCTGTCTGCTCGGGCTATGCTACTGGCTGAAGAGTTGGCTGCTGTGAAGCGGGCTTACGCGGAGGAGCAGCAGCAGTGGGCGGTTAAGGGGAATGAATGGAGGGCGAGGGAGCAGGAGTGGGAGGTGCTGGGGCAGCAGCAGAGGGTGCGGCTGGGGGAAATGGAGACCGCGTTGGAGTGTGTTAAGGCAGAGAAGGCTGCTGTGGAGGAGAGGGCGGGAGACGTTAGGCAGGAGAGGGAGCGGCTGACGAGGGCCATTGATGTTCTGGAGGGCGAGAGGCAGGAGCTGATCACAGCCGTTGATTCGCTGGAGATGGAGCGGGTGGCGGAGCGGGAAGAGTGGGGAGAGAAGGAAGAGGAATGGAAGAAGGAGCAGGTGATGCAGGAGGAGCAGATGAGGGAGCTTCAGGGGATGTTAGAAACGGTGCAACAGGAGAGTTTGCAGCAGAGGAGGGAGTGGGAAGGTAAGGAAGGGAAGTGGCTGGCGAAGGAGCAAGAGTGTCAGGAGAAGGAGCTGGCGTGGCATTGCAGGGAGGGAATTCTGGGTGAGGCTCTTGCAGCAATGGAAGAGGAGTTGTGCGCTGTGAAGGGAGACCTGATGGCGAAGGAGCAGACGGTAGCAGCAGCTGAGCAAGAGCTGTGTGCTGTGAGGGAAGACCTGGCAGCGAAGGAGCAGACGATTGCATGCTGGCAGGAGAAGGAGCAGGCTTGGTTTTGTAGGGAGGGCATTCTGGGTGAGGCTCTTGCAGCAGCAGAGGAAGAGCTGTGTGCGGTGAAGGGAGGTATGACAGCAAAGGAGCAGCAGTGGGTGGAGAAGGCGGGGGTGATGGATGAACAGTTGGCAGATCTGCAGCAGAATCTGGCAGCAGCTCAGGCTGACGTGGACATGGCTAACGTTGAGCTGGCGGCAGTGAGGAATGAGCTGGCAGAGAGGGACCAGGAGCTGGTGGTGACGGAGCAGAGATGGGCTGAGAAGGAGGCGGCATGGGAGGAGAAGAGGGTAACGCTAGAGGGGAGGGTGACTGAACTCGAAGGGAGCATTGCACGCATGGAAGAAGAGAGATCAGATATGCTGCGTGAGATGCAATCCCAGCAGGAGGAATGGGCGCAGAAGGAGCAGCAGCTGCTGCTGGTGCAGCAGCAGCAGCAGGAGTCGGCTGCAGGTGCCTTCTCAGCTGCAGAGGCAGCAAGGGAAGAGGCAGAGGTGCAGGGACAAGCCTGGTTGGGTCGGGCAGAAGCAGCAGAGAAGAGAGAAGAGGGTCTGAAAAAGGAGATGGATGGCTTGGTTAAGGAAGCAGCGGCAAGGCACCAGAGAGTAGTGAGGGACTTGACTGAGGCGCGTGGGAAGCTGGATAGCGTGAATGCGCGGTTGATTGCGGTTCTGGGGGAGAGGGATGGGTTGAAACGGGAGCTGGAGGGCGTTAGGAGGGAGTTTGGGAGGGAGAGGGACGGGTGGGTGAAGGAACGGGCGGTTCTGGAGGAGAAGGTGAGGGGTTTGGAGGAGAATGGGAGGGGTTTGGAGGAAAAAGTGACGGGTCTGGAGGAGAAAGTGAGGGGTTCGGAGGAGTCAAATGCGCAGCTGAGAGCAGCAGTATCCCAGTTGCAGGGGCAGAAGGTGGCATTGGAGGAGACGGTGGGAAAGCTGAGGGATCTGAATGTGGATCTTGAGCAGGCGAACGGGCAGCTGATGGGAGGCAATGTGCAATTAGAGGCGAGTGTCGGGCAGCTTAGATCGGCTAACGGGCAGCTGAAAGCAGCAGTGGCGCGGTTGGAGGGGGAGAAGGGGGCGGTAGAGGCGGAGAAGGCGGAAAGGGAGACGGAGTGGGAGGCGGAGAGGGAGGGGATGGAGAGGGAGAAGGGGAGGTTGGTGGGGGAGAGGGAGAGGCTTGTGGGGGTGAATGCGCAGTTGAAGGCTGCTGTGGGGAGGTTGGAGGGGGAGAAGGGGGAGGCGGAGTGTGGGAAGGCGGAAGCAGAGGCGGAGTGTGCGGAGCTGAAGGGGGAGAGGGCGGAGCTGGTGGTTGAAGTGCGTGCGTTAAAGGAGACAGTGAGTGGGTTGGAGGATGAGAAGAGGGAGGTGGAGAGGCATTACGAGGAGCTGACGAACGAAGTGTGTGTACTGAAGGAGGCTGTGTGTGGGTTGGAAGCGGTAAGAGATGGGTTGGAGGAGCAGAACAGGGAGGTGGAGAGGAAGAACGAGGAGCTGCTTGGGGAGAGGGAGCGGCTGAAGGGCGAACTGGCACAGGCTCTGTCAGAGAAGGGAGAGGTTGACGCGGAGAGGGAGGAGTTGCAGACAGAACTGGGACAGGTGCTTTCGGAGAAGGGAGGGGTTGAAGCAGAGAGGGAGCAGCTGAAGGGCGAATTGGCACAGGCTCTGTCGGAGAAGGGAGAGGTGGAAGCAGAGAGGGCGGAGCTGCAGCAAGCACTGGGACAGGCGCAGACAAAGACAGGGCAACTCGAAGCCGAGAGGGAGCAACTGCAGGCAGGTATGGGTGAGTTGGAGAGGGAAATTGGCCAGCTGAGGGCGGAAGGAGCGGCTTTGACTGCAGCGAAGGGAGCTTTGGAGGAGGAGCGAGTGGTGCTGCTGTCTGGTGCGGCTGAAATGAAGGCAGAAATCGAGCAGCTGAGAACTGAAGGAGCAGCTTTGGCTGCAGCGAAGGGAGATTTGGAGGAGGAGCGGGTGGTGCTGTTGGCTGGTGCGGCTGAGATGAAGAGAGAAATCGAGCAGGTGAAGTCTGAGTATGAGGCCCTAAATGCAGCTAAGAAGGGGTTGGAGAGAGAGAGGGAGAGGCTGGAAGCTGAGAGAGAGAGTTTGCTGGCTGAGAGGGAGGGACTTCTGGGTGACAAGGCTGGGCTGGAGAAGGATAGGAACAGATTGCTAGAGGAGCGGGAGGTGCTTCAGCATGAGAAGAGTGAGTTGGAGGAGAGGGTGGAGAGGGCTGAGAGGAAAGTAGAAGCAGGGAAGCAGGAGAGGGGAAGGTTGGAAGAGAGGGTGGTGGTCTTGGCAGGGGAGGGAGAGGAGCTGACTGTGAAGGTTGGGGAGCTTGAAGCTGAGAGGAGCGGATTACTTGAGGAGCGGGATATGCTTCAGAAGGAGAAGGTTGAGTTGGAGGAGAGGGTGGCTGCCTTGACAGCAGAGGGAGAGGAGCTGACAGTGAAGTTAGGGGAGCTTGAACTTGAAAGGGCTTATTTGATGGACCAGACAGGAGGGCTGATCAGGGAGAAGGAGGTGCTGACTGGTGAAAAGGAGAGATTGGTGGAGGGGAAGGCAGCAGTTGAAGCTGAGAGGGATGGGCTGAAGGTACAGTTAGGGGAGATGGAAATAGAGAGGGCGGGTCATGTGGAGCATATTGGGTCTCTCCAGGCAGATAAGGGGTTGCTGATGGGTGAGAGGGAGGAGCTGGTAAAGCAGAAGGCAGCAGTGGAGGCTGAGAGGGATGGGCTGCAGGTGAAGATAGGGGAGCTGGAGGTTCAGAGGGAGGAACTGGCAGTGAAGCACAGGGAGCTGGAAGGTGAGAGGGCTCGTCTGATAGAGCAGATCGGAGATTTGAACAGAGAGAAGGATGTGCTGATGGGTAAGAGGGAGGAGTTGGTGGAGGAGAAGGCAACAGTGGAGGCTGAGAGGGATGGGCTGAAGGTGAAGCAAGGGGAGCTTGAAGCTGAGAGGGCGGTTCTTGTAGAGCAAATTGGGTGCTTGCAGGCAGATAAGGGTGTGCTGATGGGTGAAAAGGAGGAGTTGATGGAGGAGAAGGAAGCAGTGGAGTGTGAGAGGGATGGACTGAAGGTGAAGCAAGAGGAGCTTGAAGCTGAGAGGGCGGTTCTTGTGGAACAGATTGGGTGCTTGCAGGCAGAGAAGGGTGTGCTCGAGGCGACGGTGGGAAGGCTGCAATGGGAATGGACAGAGCTTCAAGGACAGCTTGATTCGTTACAAGGGGAGCATGACTCGTTACAGGGAGAGTTTGATTCGCTGCAAGGAGAGTTCGGTGCACTGCAGCAGCAGAAGGTGGGCGTGGAAGCGGAGAGGGCAGAGCTGCAAGACAAGGCTCGTGCTCTGGAGGAGAGGCGAGCAGATTTGGAAGGAGAGAAGGCCGTTTTGGAGGGAGAGAAGGCCGTTTTGGAGGGAGAGAAGGCCGTTTTGGAAGACGTGGTGCGAGGTCTGAGAAGCGAGAAGGAGTCAGTTGAGAGTGCTAACTGCGAGCTCAGGGCCTCCCTGAGCGAAATTGGAAGCACTGTGCAGCAACTAGAGAATGCAGTGGAGGAGCGGGAGGGTGCTGTGAGGAGGCTGGAAGGGACTGTGCTGCAGCTAGAGCAGTCATTGGAGGAGAGGGAGGGCGCTAATTGCGAGCTCAAAGCATTGCTGAGCGAGATTAGGAGCACTGTGGCGCAGCTAGAGAATGCACTGGAGGAGCGGGAGGGTGCTGTGAGGGCTTTGGAGGGCACAGTGCAGCAGCTGGAGCAGAAATTGGAGGGCACTAACTGCGAGCTTGAGGCCTTGGTGGAGGAGAGTAGGAGCACGGTGCAGCAGCTGAAGGATGCACTGGAGGAGAGGGAGGGTGCTGTGAGGAGGCTGGAAGGGACTGTGCAGCAGCTGGAGCAGACGTTGGAGGAGAAGGAGGGCGCTAAGTGTGAGCTCGAGGTGTTGGTGAAGGAGAGTAGGGGCACTGTGCAGCAGCTGAAGCATGCATTGGAAGAGAAGGAGGGTGTTGTGAGGAGGTTGGAAGGGGCAGTGGAGGAACTGGAGGGGGAGCGGAAGGCAGGAGAGGAGGAGATGAGTGCGATGAAGGTGGAGCAATCAGAGCTAGAGGCTTCCCTGCTGCAGCGGCAAGTGCGACAGGTGGAGCTGGAAAGTAGCCTGCAGGAGATGAAAGGAGAGAAGGAGAAGTTTGAATCACGGCTGCAGGAGGCACAGCAGGTGCAGCAGGAAATGCAGCAGCAGCTGCAGAGGAAGGAGGAGGAGATGAGAGGCCAGCATGAGGAGTGGGCGCAGGTGGAGAAGAGATGGGATGCAGAGATGAGGGAGAAGGAAGCTGCGTGGAAGGAGCTGGAGGGGAGGCTGAGGGGAGAGGTAGTGGAGAGGGACGGGCAAGTGGGGAGGCTGAATGGGCAGGTGGAGGGACTTGAGGGGCAGATGAGGAAGGAGAGAGAGCGTGTTGTTGCTCTGAGTGCAGAGGTGAACGGGCTTCTGGAGGTGAAGGGGCAGTTAGAGATGCAGAGGGAAGGGGATGTGAGGGAGAAGCAGCAGCTGGGAGAGAGAGTGAGGGAGTTGGAAGGGAGGGTGGTGGAGGTGGAAGAGGGAAGGGAGAAGGCAGTGAAGGAGTGTGAGGGTGAAATAGAGAGGCGGGGAGAGGAAGTGAGGAGGTTGAGTGAGGAGGTGAGGAGGATGGGAGAGGAGGCGAGGGAGAGGGAGAGGGAGATGAGGAGGCGAGAGGAGGAGGTGGTGGCAGCAGTGGAGGGGGAGAAGAGGAGGGTGAAGCAGGAGTATGCGGAGAGGGAGACGAGGAGGGAGGAGAGGATGGAGAGGGAGATTGCTAAGATTCAAGCAGCTGTGCAGGACGAGAATCAGACGCTCAAGCAGAAGGTGAGAGCATTTCACATCCCCTTGCTCCCTTGTACACTCGAGCTCCGCGATCTGCAGCGGCAGAGCAGAGTTTCTATTTCTGATGTGCTGCCTTAAAATTACAGCAGCTGCTTCTGCCCAACACACCTCATCCTCCTAGGAGGAAGGGCTGGGGCAGAGAACTCAAAAGGGAGAGTATATGTGTTCTTATTAGAGTTAATATGTTCTTATGAGAGTTTATATGTTCTTATGAGAGTTTATGTGTTCTTAGTTGGAGCAGAGGCAGCAGTGGATGGAACAGTGGAGTCTGGTGGATTGATTTTCAAGGCACCTGCTCAAAGCCACTGAACTTTCTTGTTGTGCGCTCTGCTTATTCCTCCTTGTACTTTCAGGTGGATGTTTTGGAACAGAGGCAGCAGGAGATGGAGCAGAGAATTCAACAGGAGAGAGAGCAGCTGCAGGAGAGCCAGAAGCAGCTTCAGGCTATGGAGAACCAGGTGAGCACTGAACCTACCATTGTAGTGCAGAATCCGGGTTTCCCCCACACGCTCTGCTGCCTTTCCTGTATTTTCCCCTCCCCACCCCTCCTGCTGCACTCAGTGCTCTCCGCTTCATCCCTTTTGATAGCTTTGCTTTCACTCCACTGCTTTCCACTCCAATTCAAGTATCGTTGCTGATACGTCACATGCGTTGCTTTCTGCTCACATTGTTCCCATAGATTCCTTGACAATCAAGAAGTTCCCTCTCTTTTCCCTTTCTGCCTGTAGCTTATGGGCAAGGAGAAGCACATGAAGGTGGCAGAGCAGCAGCTTCGGGCCGAACGTGAGAGGATGGCTCGGGAGCAGCGACTGATTTCCCAAGCCTTGTTTGATGCTAACCTGGAGCTCATGCATCGATCAAAGGGCTCTTCTTGAGTGCAAATACATTACAATGACTAATAACATGGAAGGCTTAGTATTTTGGGTAGTTTTGACGGTAGCACAATAATGTTACTGTTGCTCTGTTATTTTCATGAATTTGAACCTGATCTATTAGCCTTCAGATTCTGGTGGCTGATGATTCATTGAAACCTTGAGCCCCGTTTAGTTGACACAAAAACACTAGCTCATAGACTGAATCAGTCATTAAGGGTTTAAGGCGATCTGGGTGAGCGACGACGCAAAAAACAGTTTATTTTCGCGTATCATTTCGCTATTCTCGCAATGTCGAGGTATATCGTAGCTCCTCCCCTCCCGCAACTGCGGACTTCTGTCCCGACCTTTCAAGCTCCATTTTGTCGAGCTTCGCTCTTGGTAACCCTACTGTGCGACGTGTTCGGCAACCGAGAAAGAAACAGGTTACAGGACCTTTCCTTCCAGGGCAGAGGGAGCAAGCAGAAAGAACAGCGTGCAGCAGGTGGCTATTATTTCTGTCTTTGCTCTGTCATGTCAATTCGCGGAGCAGCAATGGGCTGGTGGGTGGAATTTCAGCGTCCCCTCGCTGCTTAGCCTGGATTTATCGCGACAAACGGAGTCGATACCACCGACCGATTTAGATGCCGGCTTTAGCAAAAAAAGGGGTAGTGGAGTGGGACGGAAACAGCACGGATGGTGGATCCATTAGGTATACCGCAGTAGCATCGTCAATCCGGCTGTGCACGCCACCACTACTTCCGCCCCGTCATGTGACAGGACAGTGCTATATTTGATTTCCGCCGGCACACGCCACGGTCCACCACTGCTTCCGATCGATGTGACGGGTCGGTGCTATCTGGGATATCCGCCGGCGCGCGCCGCCGTTACTTCCCATCATGTGACGGGACGGGACGGTGCTATCTTTGATATCCTTGTACGGTGGTGGCTCAGTAAGGTGTTATTTCCCTAAGCAGACCGCCGCGCCGAAGCCTTGATTCTTGTCTGTGTCCGAGTGGCTGTGGTTACAGTTTTGAGACATCTCACAATTGATTTCTGTGATGTCTTGAATTGAAGCCATGGTTCGTTTTCATTGGCCGAGCGGCGCTGTTTACAGTCCTAGCTGACACACATGCTGGTGGCACGAATCGGTTCGACTACTGTGTAGTACGGTACACGATGGTACTTGACGGTACCACTGTATTTTCTTTTATTGCTGTCCATTACGAAATCAGCATGTACAGGACAGTAACACTGTTGCGCGGAGGCCCACGCCGCGCCAGCTCAAGCCAGCGGTTCTTACCCGCCTCAGTGCGCACTTAACGGATACCTACGGGACTAAAGTTGATAGAATTAAGGCCTACGCAGCCCACCTGTCCATCCGCTGATTTCCATCCATCCATCTTACCCGCCTCAATACCACGCAACACTGGATTTTTCAGACTTCTGAGAAATCAGCGGTTCTTATCCCGTTCAATACGCAACACCGGCTAGTCGCGTCGCCACCCGGACACGTTACGACTGTCACAAATCGGCCGTGCAGGCTACTTTTGAGATTTCTTCAAGAAATCCTTGCAGCGGTTCTTACCCGCTTCAATACGCAACACCGGCTAGCCGCCTCGCCAGTCGGATACGATACGACCGTCACAAATCGTCCGTCAGTCACACGATGCAAGTCCGTCGCGCGAATCCGGTCGTTTCTTCTGAGTTTGTCGTTATGCCAGACCGCGTTTCCGCGAGTCTGAGTCTCTACTACGACCTTACCGTAAGGTGGGCGGTAGTAGTATTATAGTGTCGTTGCGAGCAGCCTTGCTAACAACACCGCTCAGCGTCGTTGCCGGCTGTAATGCCCAGGGCTATTATAATGGCGGTTACAAGGCTTTTATAATATTCCAATACAAAATAGTAGCTTTAACTAGCCTTAATAGCCTTGGAGATGAAGATCTTCTTGATGCCTTTGATGAAAAGCACTTGGAGTAGTAGTGTAGGGAGACTTGTGAGAGAGCCCAAAAGGACTTAGAGAAACAATCCCATTTCCAATTGTTTTGTTGGAGTGGGAGGTTGAGAATGAGCTTGCTTAGCTCAGACCCCCTCAATACACCCCTTGGGGAACTATCCCAACCATGGTTTCCATGGTGGGATGGTTCCTAGGCTTGGAGCCTATGTGGCAATTGTGTTGGGTTGGAAAACCCAACTTAGAACCATTCAATGGTTGTGTTTAGGATAGAGTAGATTGTAACACTTGTTTGGCAGTTTCTGATTGGTTGGAATTCCAACCTTCAACATTCTCTTGGTTGAGTTGGAAATGTTCCAAACCTCCAAAGTTGAGGCTTGGCAAACCCAAACCAAGTTTCATCCCAACCAACTCAACCATCTCCAACTCTTCCTTTGTCGAGAGAAGTTCTCAACAATTGACTTAGAGAGAGATCGATGGTTGTTAGCTCGGTAGTTAGGGTAATACGTTACACCGGCAACCTTGCAAACAACACCGCTCAGGCGGTGCCTCTGTTGTAATCTCCTGTATACTAAATCTCATATCTCCATCCTTAGAACCCTCTCGCCTGAGATTCCCCAGACGCATTGGGATTTTCATACCCATGTTCTCTTCTTGGAATTTCCTACCTATCAAACCACCCTAGCACCCAGAGAACCACACGCCCTGCAATCTCCCATCACCTCAAAACCACCCTCTCGCCTGAGAATCTCCAGACGCCTTGGGATTTCCGTGCACTCTTAGGGTTTGAGACCACAAGGCACCCAGCGAATCACACGGCTTGGAATTTCCAACCATCTCCTCGATATATTCTCGCCTGAAAATCTCCAGACCCCTTGGGATTTCCATACTCCCTTGGGATTGCCATGGGGAGGAAGAGAATGGGAGGCGTTGACGCTACGGCCCCTCGAAAGGCGATGGCGGGAGGTAGAGGAGGAGTCTTTGCGACCCGTCTTCTTCTCCTCCTCCTCGTCCTTCCCACAGGTTTGTTGTTACCAACAAGTTCGCCGTCAGTCCCATTGTGTGTTAGAGACGCGTGGGGCGCCTGTGGCCCTTCGAAAGGCGATGACGGGAGGCAGAGGAGGAGTCTTTGCGACCCGTCTTCTCCTTCTCCTCCTCCTCCTCCTCCTCCTCCTCCTCCTGCTTCCCACAGGTGCGCCTTCAACCCCACTGTGTGTTAGAGACGTGTAGGGCGCCCCATAATTTGTCTACTGAAATTTGTCTGCTGAAATTTGTCTGCTGAAATTTGTCTGCTGGAATTCGCCTGCTGGAATTCGCCTGCTGGAATTCGCCTGCTGGAATTCGCCTGCTGGATAATGGTCTGCAGAACTATCTACGAATGCTGTCCTGTGCCCCCCTGCCCTTTCCACATGCTGCTGTTGTGGCAGCAGTAGCCTTCCCCGCAACCCTGTCCTGCACCTTCCTGTTTCACCCCCAACCAGTTCGGCATGTTCCTGTTGTGGCAGCAGTGGTGACAGCCTCCCCACCGCCCCCACCAGATACAGCCTCCCCACCGCCCCCACCAGATACAGTCTCCCCGCCGCCTCCCCCAGCCTCTCCAACCCCCCTCCCAGGTATAAAACGCCCCCCACCACCTCCTCCGCGTATAAAACGCCCCCCACCGCCCCCTCCAGATACTAAACGCTCCCCACCACCTGTTCCTGGTACTAGACGTTCTCCCCCGCCTCCCCCTCCCCCGCGTACAAATCGCTCTCCCCCACCCCCCCTGGGTGTAAAACGCTCCCAACCGCCTCCCCCGGGGGTATTAACCTCCCCCCCACCTCCAAATAGAGCGTCCGCACCCCCAACCCCTGCACCTGCCACATCATTTCCCCTCCCACCTCCCCCAGATGTGACCTTCCTTTTCCCACCTGCTCCAGCTGTTGCCTCGCCTCCACCTCCAGATGCAGCCTCCCCTCCCCACTCTCCTGCGCCGGCCACATCATCTCCCCCATCTCCCCCAGATATGGCCTCCCCTCCCCTAACCCCTGCGCATACCACATCATCCCCCCCACCTCCTGACTGCACCCCCAGGCGCCGCCCCTGTCCCTGGCTGTGTGATAGTAACGGGGTGAATCTGTTTTGCCGGCTGAAGCGGCCGTGTGCGAGTGATGAGGTGTGCGTACCCTTTGTTGTCAGCTGCGAGGGTTACAAGTGCATGAAGCTGGTAAATGGCGTCATCCCCCCCACCTCCTAACTGCACTCTCAGGCGCCGCCCCTGCCTCTGGCTGTGTGACAGCCAGGTGCCCCTGGCTTGTCTTGTAATCAGTTGCGAGGGTTACAAGTGCGTGAAGATGGTAAATGGGGGGCATTAATGAGCGTGCCGGATGAAGCGGGCAGGACGTCTGGGGAGGAGTGCTTACCCTTTGTAGTCAGCTGCGAGGGTTACAAGTGCGTGAAGATGGTAAATGGCATCATCCCCCCCACCTCCTGACTGCACTGCACTCCCAGGCGCCGCCCCTGCCCCTGGCTGTGTGACAGGGGTGAACCAGCTGTGCTGGTTGATCAAGTGGCCATGTGAGAATGACGAGATGTGCGTGCCCCTTGTAACCAGCCGTGAGGGTTACAACAAGTGCGTAAAGCCGAATAGTGGAGGGCGTTAATAAAATTCCCCCTGTAACGATGCACATCCTGAGGTCGAGGCATGCGTAGCAGCTGCTGAGGAGAGGATTCCTACAGGAGAAAAGTATCTAGAACTTCTGTGTGTTTATGCACTCAGTGCCAATGGTTAGGCAAATCCTGTGATATATATATATATATATATGTATGTAATGCATGCTTGTTTGTATTGCTTGCACTTATTCTCATCTCCTTCTTTCGTTGTCTTCTAGAAGACTTGGTCAAGCCTTTCGTTGTTCCTCCACCGCACAAAAATCCTGCGTTTTCCGTTTTCATTTTTTTGAACCTTTTTAAACCGAGCGCAGGATCGAACCTGACGCGTCCTTGCAGTTTCCCTGCTTCACTTGTCCATGGTGGCGAGTCTACCCAACCAAGGCCGTTTCTTGGAGTTTGATTGACAGGGAGAAAGTAGCATCAGCTGTAACGGACAGCCACGTAAGTTACGCAGGCCGCGAGTACGTCAGAGGAACCGCAAGTGTGATGTGTGGTTGTTGGTGCATGCATGCTCGCTGCTGCACGCGCCGCCCTTGATGAACTTTTGGCAATGCTTCGCACGAAGATGCTAGGGGAGGGGAGGCAACTAATGCGGCGAACTCTGCAAGAAAAACTCGTGTTGTTTTTTGTAGGAAACAGCTATCCCTTTTCTCACTAGGCTAGTGTCCAGGCCCCCAGAAGTCAGAGAAATTTCTCTGATTTGCCTAAAAAACTCTGTTATTTCAGCCTTTTCTCGAAGTGAAAATTCTGAAAATTCAGCCTTTTTTTGAGAAAAACCAGGAAAAATGCTATTTTTTTCTAGAGTGCAGTGGTATTTCTGCAGGAAAACTCTGATTTTCAGACTAGCCCAAAACCAATCTGAGGGCCTGCTAGTGTCACTTTGCGGAGCGCGCAGGTCTCGTGAACAGCCATGCTGCTCAGTATCATCGTACTGTTGACTGTGGTTCTTAGCGTGATGGTATTTCTTTTTAGTAGCAGTTACGTACCTCGAGGTAATACAGCCACGCAGCCGCTAACGATGCTTCAAATAACGACCTGCGGGCCGCAGCGCGTGTCGTTACCTAATGCCGTATTACATCATGCACGAGCTAACGATGCAGAGTGAAGCGAATGAGACGAGCGAAGCAAGCGAAACGGCTCGCATCATACGCCCAGCAAGCGCCTTCGGTGTTTTTTGGCCAAGCATGTTGGCGCGAAAGCGATGGTGACAGGTGTCGCCAGAACCACTCCCTCACCCTTTCCGCAGAATTGCCTCTTGGTACTTCTAACGGCGCCGACAACGGCGGCGGCAGCACTGTTGAATGGGCCGCTGCTCGCTCGTGAGATAATCTCGGGTGCAGTGCCTTCGCTGGCAAGTAATACGTGCTAATACTATCGTGCCTCCGAGGCTCCAAGTTCCGCCTTTTTAGGTGAGTCACCTTGTGGCTTCGTCATCACATCGCGGAGCCTCGTCCAGATTCTAAGTCCGACTCTAAAGCCCCCTTACACTCCTTCGCAACAACGACGGCGACGTAGTAGCATCACGGAGTGTCAGGCTCACGCTAAGCTCACACTCAAGCACTCGCGTAACTATGGCTCTGGCTGTGGCCTCGTCATCGTCTTTTGGACTAAATCGTTCGTTCTCGCCGCGTCTCCCCGCGCCGCTTCGTGCCTCGGCGGCGCCTCTTGTCGGAAACCAGATGCGCCTCGCTGTTTGCGTTCTGCTCATCGTGCTCGTCCTTCCAGCAGGTTCGTTTCTTTTTTCCCATGCTCACGTGCTGCTCGTGTTGATGCTGTCTGCGCACTAAACGGACATTGAGTGGTCGCATCTCTATGTTTGATGATTAATTACCGCATAAACTGCTTTCTGATACCAGCTGCCCGTCGTCCTGTGCTTCTCTGTTCTCCTCCCACCCACCCCCTCATCTCCCATCAAAACACACGCTTCTTTACACACGAGTACACAAGCTCGAACACTAAAATCCGTCAACTGATACGCGCATCGCACTGCGTTTACCACAGTAACATGTGATTCCATCTTCCTTCATTCCCCCTTCGTCCACAGCTGTGGCTGCGCCAACAGCCAGTCCCCCCCCTCCGCCCGGCCCTGCCGGTTCACCCCCTCCTGCGCCCTCTAGCTGCGTCATGCAGCGGCGCATATGCCCGTGGGTGTGTGACAATAACAAGAGTGATCCTCCCTGCCTGTTGAGGAAGGTCTGCCCGAAGGGCCATGTTTGCATTCCGTTTGTGCGAAGCTGTAAGGGGTACAAGTGCTTTAAGGTGTTTACTGTAGGCAATACTAGAGGATGACATGTTTGTCTCACAATAACTAGAATGAGCCTCCCTGCCTGTTGAGGGAGGTATGCCGAGGACCATGTTTTGCATTCCGTTTGTGCCAAATTGTAAGGGGTACAAGTGTTCTCTCTAGGCATGCCTGGTGCTGTGTGTAAATAAGATTATATTAAGATTAGCTGGGGCATCTGATTCCTGATTCCAGACCAGACACACGATTCCCCCCTCCCCTTCGGCCTAATGGCTGGAAAAACTCTGAAACTAATGCACTCGTTACCGTAAGTGTTGTCAAATCTTACCGTATTGTTAAGGGTTGTAAGAGGGCCCTAATTCTATGCTGATAATGAAAAATTTTTGCATTCATTTCCATCACAGCTGTTATTCTGCCTTTTTTTGGGGTTAAAGCTATTTTTCTGCTGTATACCGTAATAGCATATTTCGATCGTGTAACAAATATTTCGAAGTGTGTACGACTAGAGCGGAAACACGATCCATCCCCCCCCCCCCCACCCCCCCCCCCCCCCCCCCCCCCCCCCACCTACACCTTCACCACATCAGGGCAAGGGTACTGCAAACGTTGGTTAAGAACGCTTTATTAATTACTATGTCAGGTAATCAGGGTTGCAATACGGTGACGCGCCACTTTCGGACAACACTCCCTCGCACCACGGCGAGTCAGAAACTTGACAAGAAGAGCCAAACATATACACCCTCTTTCTCAACCTTTTCACCTTGCGCGACTCGTCGCTACAGTACTTGTCTCATGCGATCTGGTGCCAATAAACGTTCCTAGGCAACCTGGGGGGAAAGCCGGACCACGTGACAAACTGGCTCAAGGACGTAAAATCTCCGTAATCGCTTCATAACTTTCCCAAAACAGATGAAAACGTTGACAACGCTTTTTGTAAAGTGCATAACCTTACCTAACCGCATTCTTCGCGTTGTGCTTGTACAGTAGGTGACAAGACCATTCTGAACGTGGTGACGTTCTACAATCCATGTACGTTGTCCAACCAGGTGCTCTACTAGCGCGAAAGAGGGTGTATTTCTTTCAAGAAATGCATGCAAGTCGGAACCCACGAGAGGAGATAGCACCTCGAGGTGTGAATCTCAGCAGAAAAAGGCTTACCGCGTTACTGTAATAGTCCAGCAACAACAGAAATGGTCGGTGAGCAGGAATGGTCGGTTTGTCAGACCCAGTACCATCTTCAATGTGGCTGTTGAATGCGTGAAACGGCTTCTGGTTTACTCGTTACATCCCCTTCGACCGTAACCAAACCCATTCCCTTCGGCAGACTCTCGACTCGAAGCCTTGGTTCTCGTCATTGGCCGAGTGGTAACGGTTAATTTCGCTTATGCGACGGGATGGTGCTATCTTTTACATTCAGTTACTTCAAAGACTGTGTCTACAGTCCAGAATTTGTTACTATGGCGGTAATGGTTCTGCCAATCTCCCGCCACTGCCGATCCCACAAGCATGGAGCCAGGGTAGTGATGCTGCCGATCCCCCCCCGTCGCTTCTTGCGTCGTTATGCGGAACAGTGCTTGCTGCCGCTTAGCAGCAGCGAGTTTGCTCAGCGAAACGGCTTATCCGAATACTACTGCGACTTTTTTTGTGGCTGAACGGCTGCTCAGCCAATAGGCGATAGCCTGGCGAAGACTCGTCGGAGTAACTGGCTGTTTTTTACGAGTATGCGAACGTCGCGAACGGATTCTGCTGGCATTGTTGCTGCTGGGCATGACGTGACGCGACGGCACGCACGGGGGCCTTCAATTGCTTGACGAGAGCCTCGCCTAATCACGTCGTGAACGGATTGCGGGATTGTCGCTGCTGGAGCATGATGGCGTTATGCGACGGCACACACGGGGCCTTCAATTGCTTGACGAGACCCTCACCTAATCACGTCGCGAACGGATTCTGCTGGCATTTTTGCTGCTGGCGTTATGCGGCGCACGCGCCGGGCCGTCAATTGCTTGACCGTCAATCCCTTGACGAGACCTTTCCAAATCGTGTCGCGTCCTGCCGATTTTCCGAGTCTATCCTTCTTCCGGAACCATGCGTTGCCCCGAGCGGGTACCGTCAGGTGGTGGCGATGCGATGATATAAAACTTTAGAGTCGCAAGTCTCGTTACGTCGAGTTTCGAGTCTCAAGTGAGTCCCGTTACCATAGCCAGAGAACCACACACGTGTTGGATTGGAATCTCCACGCGCCACTAGCGCCCATCGAACACGGCGAGGGCAAGAGGCGTCGACCGCAACAGTGTGACTCCTCAAAAGGCTATGGCGGCAATGACGGCGAGAGGAGGCAAAGGAATATCTGAAGTTTTTCTTCTTCACAGTGTCTTCCTGCTCATGCTCGTCCTTCCGACAGGTTAGTTCTAGTATAACACTCATATCGTTTCTTATTAACTATATTATATGTAATTGTTCTCGCTGACTGTTGTCTTGCACCTCCCCCGTTTCAACCTAAACCCTTTCCACGTGGTGTGGCAGCAGTGGTTGCTCAAACTGCCTCCCCACCGCCTCCTCCAGGTGTTTCCTCCGCACCTCCTCCTCCGGGTGTTTCCTCCGCACCTCCTCCACCGGGTGTTGCCTCCCCACCTCCCCCTCCTGCCCCTGCCACATCATCGCCCCCACCTCCCCCTCCTTCCCCTCCTCCCCCTTCTCCCCCTCCCCCCTCTCCTCCCCCTCCCTCGCCTCCTCCTCCCTCTCCTCCTCCTCCCTCGCCTCCTCCTCCCTCTCCTCCCCCTCCCTCCTCTCCGCCCCCTTCTCTCCCTCCTCCCCCTCCCGCCCCTGCTACAACATCTCCCCCACCCCCTGACTGCACCCCCAGGCGCCGCCCCTGCCCCTGGCTGTGTGACAATAACGGGGTGAACCAGCCGTGCCGGTTCAATCGGGTGTGTGAGGATGACGAGGTGTGCATTCCCTATGTTAGCAGCTGTGAGGGGTACAAGTGCGTGAAACTGTTCAATAAAGGCAAGCATCTCCCTGAAGGGCATTAGTGGGTGTGTGGCGTGCCTGATGCATAGTTATATCGGTATTTGTGGACAGCAGTGTGCGATTCGTTAGTGAGCAGGTATGAGGTGTAGAATCACATGCATTGTTGCTTGGACACAAGGGAACTGCGCCGCAGAGTCTTTTTTCTTGAGTATCTTACAATGCTCGGTTTGGAGGTGGACAGAGCCACGCTTGTGCTTGTATTTCTATGCCTTGTACTCGACGTGTAATGAAGATCTCGATCCAAGTGCATTAGAGGAAACTATGTGATGCTCGATAATGACGAAACTACACGCTGAGTGGTTCACTAACAAAGTATTTGCCGGACTGGCTCAACTCAACTGCTTGGCAGTTCCGGACCCTCCATGGGGTCAAACGCCAGACCACCAGGTCGCATTTCTTTTCGTTGACACATGGGCTCAACTGAGCTGAAGGACCAACCGCTGACACATCGCCAACCTTTGGAAAGTTGCAAAAGCCTCCATCCGTTGTTGGAACACTATACTGCTTCTCTGTAACGGCTTACGAAATGCGTCCTCGCAATGTTTTGCTTTCCCTGTCTGTATCGCGAACTTGTCGTTGACCAAGCCAGTCATGCTCCTCCAGTATTCATGACATGCCTGCTTCAACCTAGAGTACTGTATTCCGGCTGAAGTAGAGACAAGGCTGATTGTGTATTGTCGTGATTCAGCAAGTAGGAATACCAGTTTACTACATGCCGTATGAGCAGGGCCTCAGATTCGGTTTAGGCTAGGCTGAAAAAACAGAGTTGGTACAAAACGTTTTGCTGAAAATCAGACAAATCAGCCATTTTATGCCATTTTACACTACAAATCTAGTAAAATTTCCTGTTTCTTCACACCAGATTGCTGGAAAATCAGCCTCAGTTCTAAAAAAGGTCTGAAATCTCAGCCCATTTTACCTAAATCAGCTTTTTTTCGCTGACTTCTGAGGCCCTGCGTATGAGTCACGTCACTGCCCTAGAGAAACCGCTAGTGTGTGAGCGGGTATGGGCGCGTGGATACTCGCTGCTGCACGCGCCTCGCCACCTTCTGGCAATATGCTGCAACGCTTCGCAGGAGATGCCTGCGGATTCAATCAACAAGAAAATGGGTCGGCACGCGCCTCGCCACCTTTTGGCAATATGCTGCAACGCTTCGCAGGAAATGCCAGCGGATTCAATCAACAAGAAAATGGGTCGGTGAAAGAAGCCGTCGGCTAGTGTGTGTCCGTTATGGTGAAACGCTTTCACGATGCACGGGTTTTGAGGACAACCTTGCTGCCGCACTGTCCTTGTCTTAGAGTATAAGCACGTGTATCTGTTTTGGGAGTATGGTACAAGTTGTCAAAATGTTAGTGCTTACTTTGTGTAGGCTATAGTGGGGTAGCCCATAAGGGGTACAACCCAACTAGGGTTAGTACTTGTACCCAACTCTTTCATAGTTCATTCGTTCTCGTTTTATAGTTTGACATGGTTTCAGAGCAGGTCCTTCCCTAGGACCGAATGTTTTAGGGCCCACCACAGAGCTGCCCCACTAACTGCCCTGCCGCCCTGCCCTAACGACGCGCCGCCCTTTGCAGCCCGTCGCGCCGCCCTTAGCAGCCCGCGAGCTGCCCCTGCAGCCAGCGCACCGCCCCTGCAGCCCGCTTGCTGCCCTTGCAGTCCGCTCGCCGCCCGCTTGCGGCCCGCTCGCCACCCCTGCAGCCCGCTCGCCGCCCGCTTGCGGCCCGCTCGCCGCCCCTGCAGCCTGCGCACCGCCCCTTGCAGCCCGCTCGCCGCCCTCTGGTAGCCCGCTCGCCGCCCATTTGCAGCCCGCCCGCCGCCCCCTTGCAGCCCGCGTGCCCGCCCTGCTGCTTGCGCCGCCTGGCTACTGCCCGCCCTGCTGCTGTCCGCCCTGCTGTGGCCGCCCTAGCCGTACACCGACCTGCCCTGCCCTGCGCGCTTCCCTAGTGCTCGCGCGCCGCCCTGTCTGCGTCCTGCTCTGCTGGTAGCGCGCCACCCTGCTCTGCCCGCTATGGCTTCTCTCAGTGTACTCACCTTCGATCATGAGGGCCGTCCGATCCAGTTCGATATGCGGCTCGACGACTTACAACTGTACCTACTGAGCGATTCCAGAGACAGCGTTTCGTTGTTTGACCACACGTCTGGAGCCTCTCTCGCCCCTCCCGCCATAGCTGACAGTGCGACTCGTTCACAGTGGCTTACCCGTGACAATGCTGGCTGCTTAGCCGTTCGCAACCACCTGCCGTTAGCCGAACGCGCTCACTTTGGCCAGCACAAGACTGCTAAAGCACTGTACGACGCTGTAGTCGCTCGTTACTCCTCCCCTGCCATTGCTGATCTAGGCCGCCTTATACTGCTCTACCTGTTTCCCGAGCTGTCCGCCTTTGCCACAGTCGAGGACCTCGTTACCCACCTCCGCACTAGCGACGCTCGCTACCGAGCTGCCCTCCCAACAGAGTTCCTTGACAGGAACCCGTCCCCGATGTACATCACTCTCTACTTCATAGTCACCCGCCTCCCTGACTCTCTTCGCGCTGTCAGGGACCACTTTCTCGCACTTGACCCCACAGACCTCACTGTCGACCTGCTCGAGCAGCACCTCCTTCCAGCTGAGACTAGCGTAGTCACTGGTGCCACTCGTGGCACTCCTCACACGTCCTTCTTTGAGGGGTGTTGCCCCTCCCCCTTCCCCCTCCTACGCTTCTGCTGCTGGTGTTGACATCCTTGGTGCTGAGGATTTCAGGGCTGCTTCTGCTACTAGTGGGAAGCGTCGCAGCAGCAAGGGCAAGGGTGGCAGGAGTGGTGGCGGTGGCAGCGGGGGTGGTGGTGGTGGCGGCAGTGGAGGTGGTGGAGGTAGCGGAGGTGGTGGCAGCGGTGGGAGTGGTGGCGGCGGTGGGGGTGGAGGTAGTGGCGGCAGTGAGAATGGTGGCAGTCGGAATGGAGTTGATTAGAGGGGAGGTTCTGGCGGTGGCCAGAGGCAGTAGCAGCAGCGTCGGAGCGAGACCCCTTCGCCCTAGCAGCTTCGTGAGTGGTTTGCTCAGCGTGGGGCGTCTGGGGGTAGTGTTCGCTGCCCGTATGTCATTTGCACGGGTGACCGTGCTGGTCACTCATACGGGAAGCCTCATTCTAAGCACCGATGCTTCTCCCGCCTACACGACGTTTGGCGCGCAGAGTTTGGTGGCGAGGCTGAGCGCCCCCGCTGGGCAGAGCTGCTTAGGTCTGGAGTTGATATCTTTGCTCTTGACTATGTTGCTATCCTTGCTGCCATGTAAGCCTTGTCTGTTAGTGCTGAGGGTGACTGTTATCTGTCTGTGCCGCCCGACCCAGGTATAGTGGCTGCTGCTCTAGGTGCTAGTCGGTCTACTCTTCCTGGTACTGCTCCTCCTGCGGCTTTGCACACCTTTACGCTTGACTCAGGTGCTTCCCGCTATTTCTTTTGCAATAGTACCACCCTCACTCCTCTCTCTGCAGCTGTACTTGTCAGACTGGCTGACCCCTCAGGCGGCCCAGTTCTTGCCCCTTCCTCCAATGTTCTCACGTGTCCGGCGGTTCCGTCCGGCTCGCTCTCAGGTCTTCACCTCCTCTCGTTCTCTACGAACTTGGTGAGTACCGCTGCCCTCCAGGATGCGATGGTCACTACCACCACTCCTGGGGGTCAGCGTGTGTCGATCTGCACGTGTACACAGACGGGCCGTCACTTGGCTACGTTCACCCGTCGGCCTGGGTCGAGTCTGTACACAGTGACTACCAAGCCTTCTCAGGTAGCTGCGCCTGCTCAGGTGTCCACGTCAGGTCCGATAGTAGCCCCCTGCATGTGTCGCCTCCTGTCGCACCAGAATCTCCTGCGGCACCACTACCTTGGTCACCCCTCCCTACCACGCCTTCGTGGCATGCATTACCGTCTCCTTGTTTCTGGTCTTCCCAGGTCTCTGCCTCACCTCCTGCCCTTGCCTGCCCCGCCCTGCCTTCCTTGCATCAAGGGGCAGCACCGCGCTGCTCCTCACTCCTTCTCGTTTCCCCCGACGACTGCTCCCCTGCAGACTCTCCACATGGACGTGTGGGGCCTAGCCCGCGTCAGTGGACAGGGCCGTGAGCGCTACTTTCTGCTGGTTGTTTACGACTACATGCGTTACACCACGGTCTTCCCCTTGCGTAGCAAGGGTGAGGTCCCTGCTGTCTTGATCCCTTGGATCCGCGCAATCCGTCTCCAGCTCCGCGAGCAGTTCCGCGAGGAGCTTCCTGTCCTGCGTCTGCACTCTGACCGAGGTGGTGAGTTCTCTTCCGACCTCTTGCGGGACTTTTGTAGTGGGGAGGGCATCCTCCAGTCGTTCAATGCATTTGCCTCCCCGCAGCAAAATGGGATTGCTGAGTGCCGCATTGGCTTAGTCATGAAGGTCTGGAAGTAGTCAACTTCCTGTCACTGACTGAAACCTCGAGCAACGTAACGCGCCTTGAAGGCAGGCGGAGAACCCGGCGGCCGCTTCACCCTGAAAATCCACATGCCATCGACTATGTTCGCCCCAGGTGGGGGAACCTCATCGACATAGGTGCCTGTGGACTTCCAGGATGCCATCTCGGCATCCATGGCTGCCTGCCACTGAGAGGAGTAAGGACCCGTAATCGCCTCTGCGTAAGAGCGCGAGGTCGGGATGTCAGGAGCATCCGGGTCTCCCTCAGGGGCAAGCAGCATGGAAGCGAAACGAGGTACAGCAGCTGCAAGACACTCAAAGTCCTCCTGCCTGTCCTCAAGGACGTCCGTGCCAAGAGCACACTCACCCCCGACGGACGGAGGACTGGCAGAAGCAGACTCAGCAACAAGA